CCCGGTCCTCCGGATGATATACACAACTGAATCATGAGCCAACCGGCTGCAACCAAAATCATAAGCCTACCGGCTATAACAACACAATCAGCCTACCGGCTTCTACATAAAGTCCTGGCCGTCCTAGCTCTCTGGCCAAAGCGTTCTGGTCAGGCTTCGCTCTGCCTTCACCATAATGCAGCCCTCTAGGTGCTCAGGCTGCACTGCTCAGTTCAGCTCTCCTGCAGAGCTCTTACACGCAGGCTGCCTGAAGAGAACTGCTAGCCAGGCTCTGGCCTGGCTGTTCATAAGGGCCCAGCCCTGCCCCCTTCTGGTCACATGACCAACCTGGTTGCTCCAGCAACCCGCACCTGAGCTGCCCTGGTGACTGGCAGCGGCCCTAATCTCTACTCAGGAACGGGGCACCCAAGTGCCCCCGTGACACCCACTAAGGTTGAATTCAGGATACAATCCCATTCAAATCAACAAAGCAAAGATTCTCAGCTTCCTTAAGAGTAAGACTAAGCTTTTGGACCTGATCCTAAGCTCAGTGGAGTCATTCGAAATATGCCCCTGAATTCCTTGTGCTTTGCATCAGACCCTACATTTGGATCTAGTCATAAGTTTTTCAATTAAATAGACACTTTTGTTGACACTGAAACACTTGGCAAAACTATTTATTTTAGTTAAGGTTTTGATGCAACAGTTTCCTCAAGTCTAGCATACACAAGAACATTTTAGAATTCCCCAAATGGACATGTTGATACAATTTTGTTGTGCAGAAATTTCTAAGGTTTTTATTTTAATTCCAGTAGAGACTGAAAACAAATTTGAGAACTTCAAAAATTATGAGGCAGAATTGTCATTCTTCAGCTAGCTCAACCTTGGTCATTAAAATCTGCCACCTTTTCTATGCTACATATTCACAAATATAAAGGCTTTATTTTTGAATCCCTAGTTAAAATCTAGTAAGCTTGCTTCTGATCATGGGTTCATGAGGATTTCAGTTTGGAATCCAGAGTATCAAATCCTGATCGCCTTGACTTCTTTAGCCTACCAAGGTCATTTTACATATATAGAGCCTCCTGTACTTAAATTATACTATGAGAAGAGGAGTGAAAGAAAAGATTGCATGCGTATTATTTACATAATTTCTATACCAAATGTAGTTAAAAAACAAATAGAGAAACTACCCACATGTCACTGCGAATAGATCCTGTGGCAGCTGCACTATGAATGTATCCTGGCTTCCGGGCATTGATTTGTGCAAGGAAAGCTTTTTCAGAAGTTGGTGATGGGACAAGATCATCAAAATGTGTCCGTCCAAATTCAGAATCGACATTACTCTCAGTCTCGCTGCCCACCTCTGGGAAACACAAAGGTGATTACAACTACATTTAATTTTTACAAGAACCAAGTCCACTAACCTGTTTCTCTAAACAACTGTCAGCTTCTCCAATTCAGAATTACAATATTTCCATAAATGTGAATAAGTCAGTATGCTTCAGGCAACAGTGACACAACATCTATATGGTGTACTTCTAATGACAGAGATCAAGCAGATTTTTTTGTGGTGGAACAGCACGATGCAGCCTTTATTTGTCTTAGGACACATGCTACTAATTATAGGCATGCTATATAATACAATTTACACATGCACCAAAAATGCTATTATGCTAAACAGGTTTCCTAATATTTAATTGCAGCTGAATGTTTATAACTTTGAAAATTGCAATGTTCTTTTCATTACTATTTTTCATTTTTAATTGCCATTAAACAGAAAAAATATCCAGAACTACACTCTGATTTATCTTCCCAGATTCACTTTTTTTATATGCATGGAATATTACTGTATTGTGCTCATGCTCTTAAGTGTCACTCACCTGAGTTTAGCTCTTTTACCAGAGAAGACATGGTATTGGTGATTGAATCAGCTGCCACCAGTAAGTCATTTCTTAAATTTCGCCTTGCACCTGAGACAGAAGAAAGTCACAACATAGTGCTAAAATTTTTCTTAAGACACAAGTTATGTGTACAACATAGTTGTAACCTTATACTAGGTTTCTAATATCATAACATCAAAATGTCAATGTCCTTACAAAGGGTCTTGTGCAAGGCTTCATTTTCTTACACTGTATGCAGTAGCAGCCTAACCTCATGATTCATTTAGTCACAATGCTAAAAATGTGGACATTATTTATTACAGTCAAATTCACATTTGTGTGGTGATGAGGGCTAAGATATTAAATCAGACCTGAACCTATTTGAAATGCCTGGGGGAGGTGGATAGAAATTATTTCTCTACAAGTTCCCAGTTCTGTTTAATATTGCCATATACACATCTTTACAATTTTGATAGATTTTGAACAAACATTCAGACCAATGTGAATTTTCTTTTCTCATTCCTCCTCAGGCTCTTCTGGCATTTTCCACAATCTACTCCCATTTTTTTAAAAAACAACACCAACACCTCCCTAAATAGCCCTGTTCTGCCATGACCTTGACTCCACCAGAAGAAGAGCTAGAAGTGGTCTCCTGCTGAACTTGTCAGCACTACTTGACACATCAGTCAGGAAAGATTATTAGAGGAAAGTGCAAATTTCCACCTCCAGGACTGTGACTACTGGTGAAGTGTAGTCCTAGTCTCTGCTATGTTACACCCCAAACAAATCTTACTGTAATTAAGGCAATGATAAACAATGACTTAATTCTAAAACCCACAGTTATCCTCAGAATGGATGAGGCACAGAATTGGCAGAATTTGGCATCTGAAAGTCTTATAAGATGACTGACCTTTACAGAGGTGTTGGTTGTCTTGGCTTATTTTTTTTAAAAGAAACTCCCAAGTCATCAATTCAATTCAATTGAAATGTATAAGTAGTTCTTTTTATTGTTGCTATATCACAGTTAAAATACTTCTTGGAAGTAAATCAAAGGTACTGAGTCACATGCAGACCTCCTCTCTACAAGACAGGTGTATCATGCAATTACCTGGTTAATAGCACAATTAATTTAGACTGGCTACACATGCAAATTAACAATGCCACCTTAAAAAGGTCTCACCAGCTATATACAGTTATTGCTGGAAAACGTGTAATCATTGAATAGCTGGTTTCTATCCAGCTTTAATTTGCACATGTAGCCTGTGCTTGTGCAGCTGATTGGAGCTCACAGCTGTGGGGACCCATGTGCACCTGAGGCTGGGAGGTCCTAGCTGATGCTGGCTCCCAGCTGTGGAGGTGCACCATGCACCCCTGCGACTGGGAGCCATGTCAGCTAAGGGGGCTCGCAGCTGCAGGAACTTGCTTCTTGCTGGTACAGGGGGAGCCTGGGATTGGGCTCCCCCTGATCCACCATTTAATATAAATAAAACACGTGTGTGTGTATGTCAAAGCATTTGCTTGAGGCAATCCAAGTATTATTTATAGCAACTTTATTGAGTCCACTAAATTGTCTTGCTTTCTCTAAGCTCTTCAGGAAATTGCTTTTGAACAAATGGTTGATGTCTATGTCGGTCTTTTCGTTTTCTCACAGAAAATACAGAAACCTGGTAACATGGGTGAGAAAATAATCCTCTAGCTCAGGGTAGGTAATTATTTGGGCTGGAGGGCCACTTAATGAGTTTTGGGGGCTGCACATGTAAAATTAATAGTGTTTAACAACAGCTATGCTTAAAAATTATGGCATTTACAGTATAAACTTTATACTACTAGTGCCATAACCAGTTTTCTGCACATCACATTTCCACACACAATTCCAGAAAAGTTCCCAAATTACCACACAATTTTCCAAATGTTACATTTTCATAAATATTTCCACAAAACATTTCCCAAGTCACAACACACAGCCATGTTGCTACAGTCTCTATGCAACTGTGTCCTCCCTGTGCTGTGGTGGTGCCTTGTGCCAGGTCCTGCCCATGGCCCCCACACCTTCCCCTCTGGCTGCTCTGCCATCGACTTGGTGCGGGCCACACTTCACACCCTGCTGCGCGCTGAGACCAGGTAGTACTGGGCTATGCCAGACAGGTTTGCCACACATTTCCCTGTGGGACATTTTTGGGTTGTTTTGCTAATTCTGCCCATGTACAAAACGCCCCTGGACTGATACCACTGCTCTCTCTGCCATTGCACACGGCTGCTGCAGGTCATACCCAGAGCTCTGCTGCCCTCCTGTGGGCAAGGGCAAGGGGAAAGCTTTGGGCCCTGCTGCCCTCTGGTGGACAAGTGCAGGCATAGCAGTCAGAAGGGCCACACACAAGCATCAGTTCTCCGTTCTTCATGTCATTGCCACACTTAATCAAAATAACAAATTATTAACATGGTAACAAACATGATATACATCAACCCAAAACTTATCCATGGGCCAGACAAAATCAACTGGCTGGTGGGATATGGCCTGTGGGCCATATTTTGTCCACCCCTGCTCTAGCTGGACTGCAATGAACATATCAGAAATGGTTTTCCTATGGAAAAACCTTGATTGAATAATGCTCAATCTGTTAGTCAAAAACATGGATACAACTCTCACTGAAGTTAATGAAAGTTGCAGGTGATTTACTTCTATATTCAGACAGTCACTTAATCTGTAATCTTAGAAATTCAAAATGATCAGCCTTGGATGATCTTCCAACTTTTTATAATTTGATAAATAAATAGGTAAAGTACAGGGCATCCCATAACAATGCTTTAGTAAACACCATGAGAATGCAAAAATGTGCACTACTTCTTCAGTCTGCTTTTCCCTTGAGAACAACCACTCAACAACACAAAACCTATCTATCAAGCTTGCAATGACCAGGAACAAGTCTTTGTTCTGGGAGGGAGGTTGACATGTTAATACTGCAGCCATCTGACATCAGATCCTCTTCATGGACTGAGACCTTGTTGTGATGGAGAGGACTGTGTATCCCAATGACCCTCAGAGCTATGTCGCCCAGTCTCTTACTCCTGGCAGGATCACCCATGATAAACAGGCCTGAGGGGAGGTTTCAGACAAACTACAGTCCAAACCTCAAGTTCTCAGTGGCAGATCAGTCAGAAGATGATGTCAGGATCTCAACAGCTGTAAAGACAGAAGGCTACAGCAAGATGGAGGTCTCTTGTAGTCTACGGTTCTCTCTTGCCACTGGGCTCAGATGTCCACCTTGTCAACATTGTGTGGTTGCTGTTTCCGTGCACCAGCTTCCTTACTTTAAACAAAGTCACAGGCAGGTTTCCACCACAGGAAACAACATACTCTTCTGTACCAACCTCCAAAAACCCTGTGGTGATGAAGGGTTTTTTGGAGACAAAACTAGTGAATCTGGGAATCTCCAGCCACAAATCTGCATGCAGGTGGCGACAGCCTGATGGTTGTCTTGAACCTGGGTTGAGACAGGGGTGCAATTATGCCAAGCAGAATGAGCCTCTCTCTTCCCCATGGTCCTACTTTCCTGTGATTTCAGGATGGCTTAAGGCTCCTCAAAGACAATGAATCTATCCAGCCTAGATAGAAAGAACACTATGGGCTAACCCTGACCCTTGAATCCAACGTGGCGGATAGTAGGGGCAAGCAAAGCTTCGGTCGCCAATTCAATTTAGAGGAGATTTGGCCTGATTCAGTGGCTAAATCTCCAAATTTGACTCTCCGAATCGAATCAGAGACCCATTAAAAGGTTCAAATTGAATCCGAAGCCTCTGAATTGATATGGAGATAAGGATAGGTTGGGGAGAGGCAGGCACAGCTGGGTGGCTGCAGGTTCTCCCCAGGGCTGCCCTGCCTGGTGCCATCTCCTGCTCAGCCCCAGCCTCACGGCACTTAAAAAAAAAAAAAAAAAAA